CACTTACAATAATTAAAATGGCAAAGATCAAGGATAAGAACAGACTGTTAGAAGCAGCCAGAGAGAGAGAAAAAGATCACATACTTGGAGAAAACCCATCAGGCTATCATTAGACTTCTAAACAGAAACCTTACAAGCCAGAAGGGAGTGGCATGATATATTTAATGCAATGAAGCAGAGGGGCCTCAAACCAAGAATACTCTACCCAACAAATTATCATTTACATTTGAGGGAGGGATTAAACAATTTCCAGATAAGAAAAAGCAAAGAGAATTTACCTTACACAAACTGTCTCTACAGTATATTTTGGAGGGAGTCTATAGATGGAAGTGTTCCAAAGGATAAATAGCTGTTACCAGAGGTAATAAAACCACAGCAAAGAAAGAACAATTACTTACTAAGCACATGCAAAATTAATCAACTACCCCCAAAGTCAGTCAAATGATAGACAAAGAGTACAGAAAATGATACCTAATATATAAAGAATGGAGGAGGAAGAAAAGAAGGAAAAAAAAAAGAACCTTTAGATTGTATTTGTAATAGCATACTGAGTTAAGTTAGACTCTTAGATAGTAAGGAAGTTACCCTGAACCGTTGGTAACCACGAATCTAAAGTCTGCAATAGCAATAAGTACATACCTATTGATAATCACCCTAAATGTAAATGGACTGAATGCACCAATCAAAAAACATAGAGTCACTGAATGGATAAAAAAACAAGACCCATCTATATGTTGCCTACAGGAGACTCACTTCAAACCCAAAGTCATACACAGACTGAAAGTGAAGGGATGGAAAAAGATATCTCATGCAACTAATAGGGAGAAAAAAGCAGGAGTTGCAGTACTTCTATCAGATAAAATAGACTTCAAAACAAAGAGAGTAACAAGAGACAAAGAAGGATATTACATAATGATAAATGGGTCAGTCCAACAAGAGTATATAACCATTATAGGTATCTATGCACCCAACACAGAAGCACCTACATATGTGAAACAAATACTAACAGAATTAAAGAGGGAAATAGAGAATGCAATGCATTCATTTTAGGAGACTTCAACACTCCACTCACTTCAAAGGACAGATCAACTGGACAGAAAATAAGTACAGACAGAGGCATTGAACACATTAGAACAGATGGACCTAACAGACATCTACAGAACTCTCCATCCAAAAGCAGCAGGACAGAAATTCTTCTCAAGTGCACATGGAACATATTCAAGAATATATCACACACTAGGTCACAGACAACACAAAGAAATAAAAGGCATCCAGATTGGTAAAGAAAAAGTTAAACTGTCATGCCTTGCAGATGACATGATACTGTACATAAAAAACCCTAAAGAATCCACTCCAAAACTACTAGATCTAATATCTGAATTCATTAAAGTTGCAGGATACAAAATTAATACACAGAAATCTGTTGCATTACTATACACTAATGATGAACTTGTAGAAGAGAAATCAGGAAAACAATTCCATTCACAATTGCACCAAAAAAATTAAATATCTAGGAATAAACCTAACGAAGGAAGTGAAAGACCTAGACTCTGAAAACTACAAGACACGCATGAAAGAAATTAAAGATACCAATAAGTTGAAACACATCCCATGCTAATGGATAGGAAGAATTAATAGTCAAAATGGCCACATGCCTAAGACAATCTATAGATTCAATGCAATCCCTATCAAAATACCAACAGTATTCTTCAACGAACTAGAGAAAATAGTTCTAAAATTTATATGGAAAGACCCTGAATAGCCAAAGCAATCCTGAGAAAGAAGAATAAAGCTGGGGGGATTACACTCCCTGATTTAAAGCTCTACTACAAAGCCACAGTAATCAAGACAATTTGGTACTGGCACAAGAACAGAGCCATAGACCAGTGGAAGAGACTAGAGGGCCCATATATAAACCAGGCATATATGGTCAATTAATATATGATACAGGAGTCATGGACATACAATGGGGAAATGACAGCCTCTTCAACAACTGGTGTTGGCAAAACTGGACAGCTGCATGCAAGAGAATGAAACTGGACTACTGTCTATCCCCATACACAAAAATAAACTCAGAATGGATCAAAGACCTGAATGTAAGGCATGAAACCATAAAACTATTAGAAAACAACATAGGCAAAAATATCCGGAATATAAACATGGGTAACTTGTTCCTGAAGGCATCTCCTTGGGCAAGGGAAACAAAATAAAAATGAACAAATGGGACTACATCAAAGTAAAAAGCTTCAGTACAGCCAAAGACACCATCAGCAAAACAAAATGGCATCCTACAGTATGGAAGAATGTAGTTGTAAATGACATACCCAACAAGGGGTCAATATCCAAAATATATAAAGAACTTATACGCCTCAACACCCAAAAAGCAAATAACCCTGTTAAAAAATGGGTGGAGGATATGAACAGACACTTCTTCATAGAAGAAATTCAGATGGCAACAGGCACATGAAAAGATGCTCCACATAGCTAATTATCAGCAAAATGCAAATTAAAACCACATTGAGATATCACCTCACACCAGTTAGAATGGCCAGCATCAAAAAGACTAAGAACAACAAATGCTGGTGAGGATGCAGAGAAAGGAGAACCCTCCTACACCCCTGGTGGGAATGTAAACTAGTTCAACCATTGTGGAAAGCAATATGGAGATTGCTCAAAAAACTAAAAATAGAAGTACCATTTGACCTGGGAATTTACCCAAAGAATACAAGTTCTCAGATTCAGAAAGACATATGCACCCTGTTTATTGCAGCACTATTTACAAAAGCAAAGATATGGAAGCAACCTAAGTGTCCATTAGTAGATGAATGGATAAAGAAGATGTGGTACATATACACAATGGAATACTATTCAGCCATAATAAAGAAACAAATCCTACCATTTGCAACAACATGGATGGAGCTGGAGGGTATTATGCTCAGTGAAGTAAGCCAGCCAGTGCCAAATGATTTCCCTCATTTGTGGAGTATAACAATGAAGCAAAATGAAGGAACAAAAAAAGCAGCAGCCTCACAAACTCCAAGAAGGGACCAGTGGTTACCAAAGGGGAGGGGTGTGGGTGGGCAGGTGGGGAGAGACAGGTAAGGGGATTGAGAGGTATGATCAGTACACATGGTGTCAGGGGATCATGGGGAAGACAGTGTAGAACAGAGAAGATAAGTAGTGACTATGTGGCATCTTACTACACTGATGGACAGTGACTGCAATGGGCTATGGGGGAACTCGATAATTTGAGTGAATGTAGTAACCACATTGTTTTTCACATGAAACCTTCATAAGAGTGTATATCAATAATACCTTAATTTAAAAAATGTAAAAAAAATAAAAGTATAAGGTTAAAGTTCAGAGGTGTAGTCCACGTGTTTATAGTGAAGAAAGCATATAATAAACAGTATATAACTGCTATAATAAAGATATGGTTAAGTTACAATGGCAAAAGAGCAAAAAAAAACATCAAATTGCAGGGGGTATAGATTTCAAGAATAGTTTTCAAAGGGATGTGTGCTGATTAACAGTAGTTAAATAGAAGAATGTAAGAAGAGAGAGGGAAGAGGGAAAAAGAAGGCAATCCAGGCAGAACGAAAAACACACGTAAAACCTTAAGCAAGTGTTTTCAGAACTGCAAATAATTTGTTATGATTATAAAATTCAGATTTCTGGGAAAGGTGGAGCAAGGATGGAACAGATGAAGCTAGAGATGTGGGCACAGGTAAAATCATGACAAGTCTTATACTATAAACAGTCTTGCATTTGAAACCATTGAATATTATACTAATTTAGAGGGAATTACTACAATTTAAAGCAAAAAAGTTTATTCCTGTGAGCTTCCTCTTCTGCATGCAAACTATTATTTTTCTGACCCTGAATTTTTTGTGTGTGTCCTTTTCTACTCTGATGCGCTGCACTTGATTTTTCAAATATTTATGCCTTACCTTCCAATCAAAACACTTCTGAAAAGTACCAATTTCACAGACATGAGTTACATTTCCCAGAGCTCTTAGGGCAATGTCTTCAACAAATACAGTCTTCAAATACTTTAATTTTTATTTTTAAATTTCCCAGCATGAAGAAACAAATTTGGATACAACTCCTTTCTTACATTTCAGAGATACTGAAATTACACTATGAAGTATTAGGGGCTGTGTACTTGTTTGGTTCTCTTGAAGCATACACTTGAGACCCAGTGAGTGAGGAATGCAAAGAGCTTATTAGGGACTAACATTTGGGAGAAAAGTGAAGAAGGATTGAGTAGGAGAGCTATCAGCAGACCTGACTTAGTCCCTAACAGGCAGACAGGCAGTTTCAGAGCAAACACTGCTCAGTAAAGGAGTTCCACTTTGGTTGGAAATAGGTAAGATTGCTATTACTTCTTAATCCTTGTTCTATTAGTTCAAAAGTATTCAACCACTATTTCCCAACTGGTTTACCTTTCACTGCAAGTGGCTATCTTAATGCTAATAAGCTCATTTTAAACTCTATCATAAATTTTAACAGTTATCAGACAGGAAAAAGCAGATCATTCATTACAAGCAAAAGCCCAAGATTCAAACACTTACATAAATCCACAATAGCAGAAATAAAATCTGATTTAAAAAACAAACATGAGGTATCAATGACTCCAAGACAACAGTCATTTAAAAAAATGGAAAAGCTTATTTAAAGGTGGTTATTAAAGATTGGAAATTTGAGGGAAAACAACAGAAATAAATATGTCAAAGAAACTTAGCACTTAGTATTATAAAGGAAAACAACCTTTCATGAAGAAAGTAAGATACCTAAGAACAACACAATGTTGTATAAATAGGTAGGTAGATACAGACAAGATTTTGTTTAAGAGAGCCTAGGATCATAAAAAATCATATTCAAATTATTTTATTTTAAATCTATATTTATATATAATTTCACTCATTATAAATTCTTGAAAATACTGTTATTATAACCCTCATCACTACCACCAGAATACACAATTCAAGAATACCTACCTAATACAGTTACGGTTGTAGAGGACTGAGCATTTCCAAGTGGGAATGTAACAGCTTTGCATATGTATTTTCCAGAATCAGAGAATCCTATATTATGTAGAGTAATTGTTGCATCATTAAGTGAATAGTTTTTAAACAAGACTCTTCCCTGATATTCTCCTTGAACAGAGAATCCATATTGAGGATGATGAACTGCAACAGTCTGTGAACTTTTGCCATGTATCTTCTCCCACGAAATCTGTGTTATGGTTTCATTTACTTCAATTAAACATTTCAGTGAAACATTCTTTCCCCATACTGCTGTGACATGCGGCTCCACAATAATTGGTCCAGCTAAGGCACCTATGGAAAAAAAAAAGAAATACAGTTCCTAAAATGGACAGTTATGCTAACATTTGATCTTTTTTACCCTTCCTGTTTCCCTCTCTTCCTCCCATCTTTCCCTCCTGTAAGCATCTGCACACATACATACACAGTTACCACCGAATAACAGGACACTGATGAAAAGAGCTATATGTTCTTGGAGCTGGATGTAAGACCCAATGAGTGGCTCTTAAATTAACTACCTGCTAATGTGTGTTGCAGTGGAAAAAGCACTAGATTGGGCCAAGAATAAGCTTAGAAACACACCTTCCCCAAGTCAAGCCTTCAGAGGATATCCCAGACCCAGCTGACACCTTGACTGAAACCTTGTGAGAGAGACAGACTCTGAAGTAAAAGACTCAGCTGAGCCATGCCTGGATTGAGACCCAAAGAAAATGAGAGATAATAAATGTATGTTGTTTCAAATATACTAAGTTTTAGGATTATTTGTTACTCAGCAATAGATGACTAATTCAAGTAAGATTTGTCAAACCAGTTATAACACCAAAGTATCATCTTTTGGAGGGCCCCTCTATCAAAAATCTCTATGAAAAACTTCATGTTACATCAGACTGGAAAACAAGACTATTAAAACATTAATTAAAAGCACATACAAATGTGAAATTAATTTTTTCCTTCTTGATGGATGAAGAAAAAAATTCCACAAGCATAAGTTAAAGTGAAATGACATCAAACTTCTTCTTTATAATATTTTCCTTCCTAAAAGCAATGGGGTTAGGAAGTTAAGTTACTAAAGTTAAGCAACATGCTTAACATTGACACATACATTAGAACATACATAACAAGTCCTTGAAGAAGTCGACTCACATTAAGTTTCCTGAAAAAGTAAGCCAATATAAGTACTCAAAAATGGAAACTGTATGAACAATACACAAAAACTTTAAAATTTAGAGTTACACATCTAATTAATCTTAAGTGAACAGAAAAATACAGAAGGGTATCACTTAAAATATAATTGAGCAAATGTGCTTAAACATGTTCAAACATTTCTAACAACAACAAAAACTTTACACAATATTATTATTTCCATTAAACCTCTTTGGGGGAAAAACACCATAAATGAATTACATAACTAAATAAGAGAGCAAACTTTACCATCAAAGAGATGACTGAAGATATTACAAAAAAGGACTGACATTTCACACTGCCTATATTTAACAATTATGGAAGAAAAAGTACTTTTTTAACTACTGCCTTCAAATTTACCATCATGTTCTATCATTATGCTTACAAGTGTGGATAATTACTACACTTTTAAAATCAATGTAAGACATATAAACTATATAAGTATTCTGATATAGTTTAATAAGCCATGCTAAGCCTGATTACTAAACCAGAAAGTAAACAAATGGAAGAGCAATTTATGAATATTAATTGAAAATTTCATATATTATGAAATACACAGCTTTGCATTTACAGAAAAAGACACAATGACCACATAGAATATTCCAAGAATTCAGGATATTTTTAGCCTATTCATCACACTGAAAGCTCACATGACCTTCTCATCTGATGCTGAGAAATGTTAAATAATTAATTTAACATTAATTATGTTTTTTAAATACTGATAAAAGAAAGATTCTTAATAACAAAATAGATATCTCAGTGGCCATCAAAACACTGAAATAGGAAAAAGGGGCACTGTTATCAAAGAAAGATGAAGTACAAGATGATGTCCTATTATTACTGTTCAGAGACTGGAAATTCCAGTGTAATGAGATAAGAAACAGGGAAGGATAAGTATTAGAAAGGAACATACAGAATTGTTATTTGAAACACCTGTTACCTAGAAACTCTGAAAGGGCCAGCTGAAAAACTATTAGGACATCGTCAAACAAAACATGCAAAATGTACATAAGATATATAAGCAATGTGTTATAAAAGGTGATAGCCTTCACAAATTTACTGCAGAAAAAGCCATTTGCAAGACATCAATATTTAAAACACAAAGTTGTGAAGAATCTATAAACCTAAACTATTGACTTAATAAATAAATGGAAGATATGACATGTAATTTTGGATAGGAAAACTTAATACTATGTGGGAGACATGAAATCTCCCCCACATTAACACACAAATTCTATGCAATTACTACGGAAACCCTGATAAAAATTCTAGAAACTAGGCTAACGACACATCTAAAAAGCATCTCAAAAACAATGGCCCACTAGGAGGAAGGGGAAATACTAAAGTAAAAATAATAAAAAGCTTACTATTAGTATCTTAAAATATCTGAAAGTACACAAACAGGAAAACATATATAATGGTATACAGCATTATTATTAGTGGGGAAATACTGAATTAGTCAAGATGCTGCAAAGACAAGAGCTAAATATTTAGAAATAGATCCTTAGACTAAATACACAGATGGACTAAAGATCTAAATGTAAAAAATTAGCCACATGTACATAAACTGTAGCCTGTACATACACTGCCAATAACTTTTTGTATATTCTAGCAAATAACATTAGTTTCTCCTAGGGAGTGGGACCACTAAGGACTAAAGAAAGAACATTGTTTTTACTATGTTCCTCTTTGATATCAAAATCGTTTACAGTGATATTCACAATAAAAGCAAAATAAAAATGAGAAGAATTATCCTCCTAAAGTGGAGAAGAGATAGGATGAGGGAACTGTTACAGACTGAATGCATCCTTCCAAAATTCATTGGTTGAAGCCCTAACCTCTAAAATAGTGATATCTGGCAGAAGGGCCTTTGTGTGGAAATTAGGAGGTCATTAGGGCAGGGCCCCCATGCTGGCATTAGAGTTCCTGTAAGAAAAGGAAAAGAGACCAGAGCTCAATCTCTACCATGTGAGGAAGAAGCAAAATAATAGCTGTCTGCAGGTCAGGAAGAGGATCCTCACCAGGAACCGAATCTGCTCACACGTTAATCCTGGACTTCTCAGCGTCAAGAGCTGGGAGAAATAAATGTCTGTTGTTTAAGCCACCTAGTCTATAGTGTTTTGTTACAGCAATCCCATCTTATCAAGACATTAAGTATTAGAATTACCTGGGAGGGACAGTATTAATTATATCTCCTTACAACCTAAAAAACCATGGCCTAGTGGGCCACCATTACTAAAAGAAACATTTGGAGACAGGAAAAAGAAAAGATCCACTGAATCAAAAAAATATAAAAAATATTCTACAACATTTAAATGGAGAAAGTCACTCATGGCATAAGACTACAGAAAAGCTACCAAGAATAAGATTGATAGATTTGACCAGAAAAACTAACACCTAGTGAACAAAGAGCTTGAACAGATATTACTAAAAAAAAACAACTATAAAGAACAATTTTTAATGTGCTTAATTTTACTGTAAACAAATAAATATTAATGTAATATAAGGTTTTTACTTTCTATTTTTTGTTTTAATTTCTAGGAAGTAGGAATGATATTTTCACTTTCTAATTTTTTTACAAAAATATTAAGTAGTTCATGCTTTTTGCAAAAGTAAATTTTGGTGTGATTTTTTTTTGTCTTAACCCCCAAACCTTAAAGCAAAACTTTATACTACCCTTCAAATATGATAATTTGGCTCTCCCTTAGATTCCATGAGCTTCTAAAGATATCTCACCTTTTCTGTTTTGTTAACCAGGGTTAGTTTCTGTTATTGGCAAACAAAACAATCTAATGCATTTATAATTCTAGCCCAAAAGTTAAAAACCACTTCTGAATAAGATTTTCCCCATGAAATCTTCAAACTGTGCAGAACAGATTTTCCATGTGATTCTTACCAAAGTCAGTATTAGTATGCCTCACTACTCAAGGTCTCTCAAACACTGAGCCTGCTCCTTACCCCCACTTTCCCATATGAATCGGAGTTTCACTGGAGAGCAGAAGAAATGTCCTGGAGAAACAAATGTTTATTATTAAAGACCTAAATTACTTGAAGTTAAGTTCTTCATTAATGGTGACGTAAATTTAAGACTGTAAAGAGGCTAAGGAACAACAAAGAATTTGACCCTTTCATATGTGGCAAGACCCTAACTTTGTCATAAAGTGTTCCTGGCTACTGTATACTCTAGGGGTCAAGAAAAATACTAAAATATGATGCTCTGTTTCTGCTTTGTGTATCTATTTGATTTATAAGTTTTTTATCATTAGCTTAACTAAATTATTATCCTTTCAGAGAAAAAGAGAATGCAATGTTTTCTCCTACCTGTAGCTTCCATGAAAACACTACAACTATGAAAATACCAGTTTTCATGTATCTTTGGAGTTTTCTTGTATATTTGAGTAGTTATTCAGTCAGGATTTAGAGTGACTGGAGGATACAAATTATTTGCAAATACTCAACAAGGAGCTTGTGACAGAAAAAGAAAATAAAATGACTTGTACTACAACTTCTATGGATTATTCAGAAACAAAACAGAAAGACTTCAGATTTACATTAAAGAAAAGCGAAGTGCAAGTATGAATAAAGTAGCAGCAGTTCACTTTCTTACCTTTCCCACTCCCAGCAATGCACCAAGAAGCAACAGAAGTCATAAAAAAAAAATCTATCTATAATACTACCCCCTTTTCCATACTTTGATACTATTGTTTGTCACATCTCACTTCTCAACTATAAGAAAGGCAGCCATCTTCAACATTTTAGGTCTCAGGACCTTTCAAATGTTAGGATCTACAAAATAGGTATTCGCAATTATTCTACAATGCAACATTGACTGTACTCTGTGTCCAACTACAAATACCACCTCCAAACACCTCTAAGCTTTGGATCCTTTCCAGACTCCTCAGAATTTAGAATTTTTTGAAGCAACTGAAAGAAGTATACACTGTCAAGAAACTAGCAAAATCACAGCATTCAGGTATTCTCAACAATTTCAGTCATACTTAAACACATTTTAGATGAATCAAATCTATCACCAGCCCATTAAATACTTAATCTGAATTGTTTCAAACTGATTACGTATGTCATGTCAACTCTGAAAATGTAACAAGTCTTTT